AAACAGAGCCTTTCTGGACCTCAGTTTCCTCATCTGTGAACTGGGAAAGTTAACAAGGGGCTGGCTTTGAGAATCCAAATCTAGATGCGATTGTGGATCGGGAGTAAGAGTTAAGCAAGCATTTTACTACATGCAAGGCAGGGCATGAGAGATGTGTGTTACACCCTCTACTTGACTCCTAAGGCCATTTTACAGTTAAAGAAATGGACACTTGGACAGGTGAAATCAACTTGTCAAAGTCACACAAGAATTAAATGACAGAGCCAAGATACAGCCCACATAAGCCAGCTGCTGAGCTGGACAGTGATGACAATGGAGCTCAAAGGCCCCCTGGGCCCTTCCCCTACCCACTTGACCCAAGCACCCAAAGGGAGTATAGGCTCCCCACCCCTTGGGAAAAGCCCCCCATCCCTCCTGGCTCTGCTGTTACTTACTCTTTGCCATCACCACATTCTGGTGGTGGGACCAGCTTGAAGCATGTCGTGCCCAGCTCTTCCCAAATCATATTGGTGCCTGCATGTGGACCATGGAGCTTCGGGAAGCGTGCTAGCCTGGTGTCAGAGGCAAGGTCAGGCTAGGGTAAGCCCCCTGCCAACCAGCTGCCCCTTCTCACTGCCCAGCAGCAAGCAGCCCACCCCCAGGGGTCCAGAGAGGCCTCACCGGCGAGTGCAGTTGCAGTGGAAGAGAGGTGCAAAGGCGCTGTTGAATAGCTGGAACTTGGTTTCCTGGGGCTCAATGCGATGCTGACATTGGTCCAAGTGGCGGAAGCTACGACAGGCCCAGTGGGCACCTAAGGAAAGTGGGCAGTGGTGAGAAGAGCTCAGCCTACTGGGGAGGCCTCATCAATGGCTGCTGCCATCCAGGAGAAACGCTGGCACACGTGCTAAGTCGCACAAACACAGTCTCCCTCTGGCTCATGCTTTTTGTGTTATCAGTACCACCCCTTTGGGAGTGCCCCCCCCCACATACATAGCAGTGCCACTGTGGGGGAGCTCAGTGCTGAGAGTGATTGGGGGGGCTTCCTGGAGGTGGAGGTTGCTACACTGAGTTTGAGAGAGAAGAAGAGGAGAGGAGGATGCTCCAGTCAGAAGGAACAGCATGTGCAAAGGCCCAGAGGTAGGAGAGTGAGTGCAGACTGCTTTGAGTAACCAAGTGAAGTTCATGAAAAGAGTTTTAACTTGGGGGATAGGACCTGTGAGGCCAAGACTTGAGGGCCTGTTGAGGTGAAAGAGGGTTGAGGGACAAATTTGTGGATGATGAAAATCCCTTGCCACAATGTCATTTGATGAGAGAGGTTGGGAGATCCCAGGGGGTGTTTAGAGCAGGAAAAGAGACAATGTTCAGTCCCACACGTGCACCGAGACAGGGACACCCCTCATGTCAGGAACCCCCAAACTCAAATTTGGCTCTCACCCTGAGATTTGAGGCCACTCCATGGGCCCTGAAGGCCTGGATGGGGGACTGGCAACTGGGCTGTGGGGGTCACATCAGGCTTGAGGGAGGTCACAGGGACCTGGAAGGCTGTGATGTTGGCTTTGCTGGGATGCTTGGACTTTTTCCACTGTGGCAGCCACTTCTGAGGGTGCTGCTTCCGTCGATGCTTGGTAGGGGATTGGCTCTGGGGACTGGAAGTCAGGGAGGTGGCTGGGGAGCTCCAGGAAGCATTGTAGAGGGTCCTGGGCTGGAGGCGAGCGAGAGGCACTGAGCCATATGTCCTACACCTGGGGGGTGGCAGTTGGTGGCAATTGGTGATTAGAAATTCCCCCTCCTAGAAGCCCTCAGGGTTGTCTCCATGGAGACCAAGGCTCTAGTAGTTCCATCCCCCATCCCGTTGGGTTGTGGGGCAAAAGGGGCACCTGGGGGGGAGGCGGATCTACATCCTGGGCCCTGCCCTGAAGAGAGGACAAGCAAGACAAGACATCATTCCCTGGAGGACAGGCAATCAGACACCAGGCTTGGAGCCTGAGCTCCCGCTCTGGCTAGGAAGGGCTTCAAGGGTGGGCAGCCACGTACCCGCCCCACCAGTACCACGCCACACACGCCTCCTGTTCTTCCAGCACAAAGCAGGGGATCTCCAGCACATTGAAGAAGGCCACACCCACGATGTCTGAGATGGAGTCTCGCTGGTTCCTCAAGCATTCCCGGAACCTGGCCCAGAACAGGAACTCAGGTCCCAGGCCACAGAAGGCCACTGGGATTCTCCCCCAGCCCACCTTGCCTCTTGCAGCCAGGAGATTTGGAGTCTCAGGCCTCAGCTTTCCTACCTGCACCAAGGGATGCAAGGCGGCTGGTCTTTTAGGACTCTCTGGAATCCCATTGTCTACACCCAGGAACTGGATAACCCCACCCCATCCCTCAGCTCCCAGCCCTCCCTGCCCACAGCCAACCTGGTATCACAGTCACAGTGGGAGATGGTGTGGAATCGGTAGTTTCGGATACCATAATTGTACTGCAAGGGTGAGATGTTCTGTGGGCAGCGGTCGTGTTCACGGCAGCAGAGATCAGGGCCCTGGAAGACCCCTGCAGGGAGGGGAAGGGACACCAGCTCAACAGGGTCCTAGGCACTAGGACCAGCTACACCTGCCTGGTATCAAGCAGACAGAGACCCAATTCTCCTCGTGACACAAATGCCCTGGGGGGACCTCAAGCTAGTCATTTCCCCTTTGTGGGACTCTCACAGTTTCAAAGCCTGAAGAAAGTACTGAGGCTGCTGCTTCTGTTGAGCCCCTCTAAGTGCTGGGCAGCCCACCCATGCCCACATGGAAAGGTCTTCTTCAGGGGAATTGGAGTCTCTTTCCAGAGCTCCCCAACCCACACCCCCAATAAAACCACGAAGTTGTGAATGTGTGTATCATGGAATGGCAACAAGGCAGGGTGTGCCCTTTCTCATTGACACAACGATGCATTGCCAGGATGCCAGCCTCCTCTGACACAGGTGCCAAGTTCTCCTCCAACCCTCCAACACATACATAGACAGTGCTGTACTAAGTGCAAGGAAGTCATTTATGTTTAACGCTACCCTAGCAATAGCACACTTCACTGAGCATATCCTACATGCCTGGCACTTCCCACACCCAAGCTCAAGGCAGCCCTGCAAAAGAGATGTCGCCTTCATTTTTACAGGTAAGGAAAGTGAAGTTCAGAGAGGGTAAGTGACTTGCCCAGCTTGGATATGCGCTGAATTGGGATTTGAACCCAGGCTTCTGGGCTCAATGCCCATTACACTGGGCACCCTGCCCATCAAGCCTCCCCTTGGGTGGAGGCTGCCTGATTCAGCCAACTTGAGATCCACCCCAGCCTGCCCCCTCCCTCAGATGGTGATCAGTGAGGAATCTCAGGTCTGAGTAAGACTTTCCCCAGCCATGACCTCATTTAAGCATCCTATAATGAGACTCATAGTTACCCCCATTTTACAGGTAAGGAAATTGAGGTTCAAGGTGGTTATAAATTACACACACACAAAGACACACAGTGCAGCCTGAAGTCTGTGCTTTCCCTACCGTACCCCCAGCCTGCAGCTTACCCAGCTCCGAGGAGTTCCCAGCGGAGTTGCCAACTCCACACCACAGTGTGCCAGGCACTGTCCAGCCTCTCTTCACTCGTGGGTGGCCTCTGCTAAGCACTGCACTCTGCCCTGCTGGTTGCTTCTCCCTGGCCCCTGCTGGACTCTCCTCAGGCCCCCAGCAGGCCTCCCACTTACTCTGAAGGGTGGCCAGTGCTCTCTGCAGCTCTGGCCCAGGGGAGTGGATGAAGGAGCCCTGGGTGGTCTCCTGAGCACAGAGGGCTCTGAAGGCTGTGGTGAGTTCCAGTCCATCCTGCCGGCTACATGCCTGTAGCCTCCCGTACGCATCCCAGTGGGCATGGAACAGGGCCAGTCCCTGAGCATCCTTGCCCAGGAAGCTTAGGGACCCCAGAGGGTTGCCAGGGATGGGCTTGGCCAAGTGGCAGGAGGTGCTGTCCCAGAGGAGGTCAGGAGAGCCCCCCAGAGCCAACCCCAGGAAGCCCAGTACCCTCAACAGCAGTGCAAGAACCCCCATTCTGCCCCGCCCCAGTCCAGTCAGACAAAGCCCCCGGGATTCCTGCCCCTGGTGGCCCCACGAGGCAGCAGCTGAGCTGTGGAGGAGTGGGGTGGAGCGGAAGCAGTGCCCAGCAGGCCCAGTGCAGCAGGGCCAATGAATGGAGCTGAGGGAGGAGGAGGAAGGAGGCTGGAGTATGGGGTGATCTTGGGCTTGTAACCGAATCCACCGGCGGGGCAGGCTGCTGATTGGCTGAGCAGTATGCTTGCCAGGGCCCACGCCCCCACTCACCCTGCCCTACCCATTGCCCTCCAGTCACCTGCTGCCAGCCCTGCCTAGATGGGGACTGTGGGAACCAAAGCCTGAGGTTATGGGGGGCAGGGTCCAGGCAGGGGGCTGCATCTTCCCTGATGCAGAGAAGGGAAGGAAGAGGTTGCAGAGGCTCGCATGAGGGCCCCCTCGAACATCCTTCTCACCTTTATCCTAGTGGTGACTGCCACACCCACCTCCGTCAGTCTGGCAGTAGGCCATCCATGTACCTCCTTGCCAGGGCTGGGAGAAGGTGAGGGCAGGTCTGAGCACTGAGGCTACCACCCTGGGAACTTCCAAGGCTTCTGAGAAAGGGATTGCTCATCCCCAGACCACCCGGAGCCACTCCAGTCCTAGTTCTTAGAAAGGCTCTTGGCAGGGTGGCGCCTGTGGCTCAGTGGGTAGGGTGCCAGCCCCAAATACCAAGCGTGGCAGGTTCAAACCTGGCCCCAGCCAAACTGTAACAAAAAATAGTCAGGCCAAACTGTAACAGAAAATTAGCCAGGTGTTGTGGCACATGCCTGTAGTCCCAGCTACTCAGGACTAGGCAAGAAGCAAGAAAATCGCCTAAGCCCAGGAGTTAGAGGTTGCTGTGAGCTGTGTGACACCATGGCACTCTACTGAGGGTGATAGAGTGAGACTCTGTCTCTACAAAAAAAAAAAAGAAAAAAAGAAAGGCTTTTGGCATACTCAGGGGACAGGGCCCCAAGGCTCCACACTTCCTGGGACTCCAAGCACGGGCATTGGCCCAGAAGCAACCCTTCTGGTCTGATAGACGGGGATATTGTGGGAGCCTTGAGAGCAGCCTAGGGGAGGCCCAGTGTCTCTGAATTTGAAGGAACTTTAGGTACCAGAGTAGAAAAGTGGCACAGAGTTAGGTGTATGGCCACCACTAACTCCAGACTATAGCCACCTGGGAGACATAGCAGGCATCACATTACCCCCAAGAGACAGGAGTCTCCCGACTGGGAGGGGCTATTCCCAGCTTTGTTCCTGTATCCCAAAGCCCAGGTTTGGGGGAAGACAGAGGGTTTATACCCATAGTACCGATGAATAAACGGAGGCTGAATGAGAGTGGGAAAGCCTCAGGTGAACAGGCCCTACCAGGGAAGAGATTAGAGGCTTGGGAGTACAGCTCAGGAACTTGGCTGGGAGTCGGGGCTGGCCAGGACAGTGACTTCTCAGTTGTCCATCTGCCCACAGACTGCTTCTTCCACAACACCCCCCACTCTGGTCTCCATCCAAGCTTCTTCCAGGAGGCTGAGCCTCAGTAAAACAGAGCCAGAGGCAGAGCTGGGGACAAGGAGCTTATTGTCCTGGAGGAGGAAAAGGCTTCAAGGTGGGCAGGCCTGTCTCTGTGGCTTCAGAACCAGCCTGGGACTGTGATTCTAAGGGTCATAACTGGGGACAGTGAAGAGAAAAGAGAAAGTGGGGACAGCCCAGGGCCAAACCCCAGACGCTGGGGAAGAGGGTAGAGATTGGGGGACAATGAAGAGACCTGGACTTCCCCAGGGTAAGGACACAGCTGAAGGGCTAGGTGAGGACCTCAGGAAGAATGCTGATGTTTGAAAAATGATCATTCTGGTACTTGCTCCTGTTGTAAGAACTGCCACTCACCTCTGCCCCCTTTTGCAAATTACAGAGCCCTTCCTTGCCTACCACATGGAGACGCTGGGAGGTTTCACAGCAGGAACCCAGATTTTGAGGTCTGACAAAGCTAGCTCAGATCTTGGATCATGTGACACTAGGCTGAGAAGTCTTCACTTCCCCGAGCCTTAGTTTCCTCATGTTTTATAGATGTAACCATAGAAGTCATTGCATAGTATGTCAAGTAGGATTCTCAGCACAGGGCCTGTCATCTAAAACACTGTCAACTAAAGCCACAGGATACCTGTGGGCAGGAAGCAATTTACTTAGGAGAGACCAAGTCTGGAGCTTAGAGAGGGTCTGTGAGACTAGCTGCTAGGCCACTGCCTGGATATGTAATTTCAGGAGTGTAATTCCCTGCCCCTGTCTGGGCCTTGTTTCCTCCTTCAGACAGCAAGAGGTATAGTGAAGGTGACATTTGAGGTCTTTTCCAGTCTAGGCCCCAAAGGGAGGCAGGCTGAAACCTGCACAGGCCTCTAGGGAGGGTGTCACTGGCTTTCTGTTCATACTCCACCCGGGAACCATGTCAGTCAAGCTACAGGACAGACTGGGTGCCCTGCCTCTCACCAGGGTGCCCCTCAGATGCCTTGGAGCAGAGGATGAAAGAGACCAAACCAGCAGGACAGAATAGGCTGGGACCCTTCAGGTGGAAGGGTCCCCACCTAGATAGTGGATGGTGGTGCTAATGGGGAGTAAGGGTGGGGGGCCTGAGGGGGAAGGCATTCACTTCTTTCTCCCTGATTGTCTCTGTCCTGCTGTTAGTCCCCAGTTAGTCCCCATCCTTCTTTGTCTCTTTTTGGCTTCTCTCCCTTTCCCTCTCCTCCCCTCTTCTATTTCCCTTTCTCTCTTTCTCCTTCTCTCTCTCTCTCTCTCTCTCTCTCTCTCATTTGCATACTTTCTGTCTCCTCCATTGTCCCTTTCTCTCCACTTCCTTCTCTAACTCTCCATCCTGTTCTCTCTCCATTTTTTCTCCTCTCCTCTGTCTCTCTTTACAGTTTTTCACTGCTCCTCCATTTCATTCTCTCTTTCTCTCTCAATCTCTTTCGGCCTTCCTCCTTCCCTATTTTCCTTTCTCATTTTTCTCCCCTATGGGTATCTCTCTATTGTGGTTCTCTTTCTTTTTTCTGTTTTTGTTTTTTTTT